TATTTCTATGTTTAAATATAAGTAATAAATAAAAATCAACATTTTTTAAATAACTTTTCAAAATTAAAAACATTTAATTCCGTATAAATACTATCAGTACAGGTATAGCTTGGTAATTTCAATATAAATAGTATTTATCTATTTAAAAATACTTTTAGTTTTTATTATAAGCACAAATTGCCTAACCCAACTTTCGATACCACAAGTAATAATTGATTGAACCAATAAAATATATACTATATTTTTAATTGTATTTTATCAAGTATATAGATCTAAGACTATAAAAATATAGAAGAATTTACGGATTAATAATAACAAATAATGTATGTACCTAAATAAGTCTTTATTAACACAAGTTCATGATATGGATAAATTAGGTGTAATATTTGATACGACTTTTTTTTCCCAATAAACACTTATTTCATAAACCAAGAAAATTATCAATGATATTTGATTTTATTATAAAAAAGATTTGAAAAGATTTCACTAATCCCATTGCTTTAAATACATTATTTATTTATACCTAAATAACTTAGAAAATAATTTTGTGATTCTTTCCCACCACATAAATATTAAATTTATTGTTAAGAGGACGCTACACCCGCATGTATTGTCTCCGTCTTACAAGTGCGTAACATTGCAAAAACTGTTTCGCRCGGGAAAGAACCGAGAAGGCTACAGYTATAACTAAGAAACRAAATTTTCACCACATAATAAGGAGAACATTTACTRTGCAACGTTGTTTTCAATTTTTCGATATCACAAATAGAAAAAAAGTTCTTATTGTTTCAAAATGCATTATTTTTGCATTTTTCAAAATAAAATAACTTTTTTTTCAGTTCTAATATCAAAAAAATAAAAACAACGTTGCACAGTCGAAATTCCCTTTTATCTGTGGTGAGAATTTCGTTTTTTAGTTATGAMTGTAGCCTTCTCGGTTCTTTCCCGCGCGAAACAGTTTTTGCAATGTTACGTACTTGTAAGACGGAGACAACACATGCGGGTGTAGCGTCCTCTTAAGATAATATACAAATTTGCACTTACCTTACTAAAATTGAATAAAATAATCTAATTTGAATAAGAATAGCTAAATTTAAAAAAAAAAGCGGGTAAGTGGATGTCGCTCTGCTGTACATTAGGTGGTGGGGTGGACCTTTGACTAGGGTATGTTAGATTTGAATGCAATGATAGGTATCATTGTATACGAAAAACGATTCTGAACGGAGATGATTTGTCAATCTAGGATATATTATAGATAATTAAAAATTTTCAAATCTTTGATTTCAAAAGAAAATTTTGTATACATTTCTAGCTTAAAATAATTTGCGAATAATCGTAATTTTTACGTATTTAGCAAATATTTGAACTTCAAATGTTGATAAAAAAAAATTGTGCCTACGTATTTTTGTAATTTTTTAATCACTATACTTATGAGGAACTTTTTATTAAATTTTCAAGTATTTTGATAGTGCCAAAAAATTTTATCAACACTTCAAAAAAAATTTTTTAGAAAAATTGAAAATTTCAGTTGTCTATAAATACCTCAAAAAAAGTCAAAATATTTTGAAAATTAAATCATGTATAGAAAATGCCAATCTAAATAACTGGTATAATTTTCAAGTATCTACGACTTATACTTTTTGAATAATAACAAATGTTTAAAATCGTTTGAGGATATATCGTTATATATCGTTATCGTTACGCTATTTCGAAAAAATTTAAAATTTCTCCTATAACGACGCTTCGAGTTTTCTCTATAGCTATTTGAAGGAAAACTTATGGAAAACTTAGTGTTATATTTTTAATCCTTAATTATAAACAGAACAAATTTTATGATTTTTAAACTTCAAAATTACTTGCAAATTTTCGAGTTTTCGACATATTTCGTAAAAATATGAACTATAAACGCTTCTTAAAAAAATTGTGACCAACGATTTTTAATTTTTTTTAGCTACAATAATATCAACTTATAAGGAACCTTGTATTAAATTTTCAAGTTTTTTTGGTCGTCCAATATTTTTTTACCGACACTTCAAAAAAAAATTCTCAAAAAATCGAAAATTTCAGTGGTCTATAAATAACTCAAAAAAAGTCAAAACTTTTTGAAAATTAAACTGTATATATATAACACTAACATAAACATTTGGTGAAAATTTCAAGTATTTACAGTTATTACATTTTGAATTACAACCATATAAAAAAATCAATTTGTTCGAAAACTGGTTTTGCGTAAAAATTCCAGTTTTTCTGTCATTTTTTTTTTGTTTTTCTCGATTTTTTTGAAAACTGTTGGAAAATGTTTATTTTTACTGTTAACTTTATAATGCACCAAGGATCTTCAATTTTACACAGGAAACCACCCCCAAAGTTTGAAATCGAAGCATTATTTCGACTAGTTATGCTGTACACACACACAAAAAAAAAAACATATCATTGTAAAATCAATACATTCATCACTTCGTTCAGAATCTAAAACTATGCTTTCAAAAAATCCTTTGTTTCTAATTTATTGTTATCACTTATCACTAAAAAGTAGAAAATAAAATAAATAAAAAATAAAATTTTTAAAAAACATGCTTTTCTTAATTCTTCTTAATACATGAACTAAAAAGTTGAAAATAAACTTACTTTTAAAACAATTTCTTAATGAAACTTCAAGGTTATCAAGATATTACTAAAAGTGTATCTAAAATGTATTTGTTGCAAAATTTTTAAAACTTGTGAATTACAAAAAACGAAAAGCATGAGGCACTTATAATAACTACAATGTAAAGTCACTCTACAACTGAATCATTAGATAAACTTTATGATAAGTATTTTAAAGATTATTGATCATACTTCCAATTTTGTAAGAGATATTCTTGACTCATAGGAGCTCCATGCTTTTCGTTTTTGGAATTCACAAATTTTAAAAATTTTACAACTAATTTTATTTATATTTGAAATACAAAACAAAATGTTCAATATATTGTGGTTTTTTCTTTATAATAATAATTTATAGTTATTCTCTACTGATATAACTCCCACACAGCAAGTTAATATCAAATAAATGTTTATTTTATATTTAAAATCCAATATTGAATGTTAATTAAATTTTTAAAATAAATTGATTTTTCATCATTTTATATTTCCTCTAAGTTGCAGGTACATTAGTTGAACCAAAAGTATATGTTGAGTGCTAATTGAAAATAAAATATTTTTTAAGCATTACATTTCAATATTTAGTATGCGATAAAACAAATGTCTTATAATTATTTGTAATATAATCATTAATAATTAACCAAAGTTGCGAGTATATTTTATTTTGTACCAAATAAATGTTTATTTAAATTTAAAATAAAATATTGATTAATTTGTATTTATCCAATATTGATCAAATATTGAAATGTAATGCTTAAAAAATATTTTATTTTGTACCAAATAAATGTTTATTTAAATTTAAAATAAAATATTGATTAATTTGTATTTATCCAATATTGATCAAATATTGTCATTCAACATTTTAATTAATTATACATATACTATAAAAATTATATATTATAACCAAATTTTTTTTATTAATTATAAATTTATAAATTATGTCATTTTAAATAATATAATGAAAAATACATAATTCAAAATTTATATGTTTATTACAGCAGTAAAACATAATTAGGTACAATAAAATAGATATACTATGTTTTTTTAAATAATAGTATATAATATTATAATATTGTCATTCAACATTTTAATTATCATAAAATTAAAAATATTACAACATTTTTTATTGATTATAAACGTCATTTTGAATAATATGATAAAAAATTTAAAATGTATGTTTATATACTAAAATAATAATACAAACTTACTGCAATAAGTATCTTATTATATTTTATAAAATAATAGCATTTATAATATTTTTCATTTAAGATTTTAATTAATACCTTTTATAAAATATTACAAATAATATTTTATTGATTATAAATGTAATTTTAAATATGATAAAAAATACTTAATGCAAAATTACAATATAATTATAGTATATTATGTAGACAAACAAAATGACTGTTTGTTTGATTGCCGTTTTAAATTAAATGGAGCTTGAGCCAAAATATACTTGATAGTTTCCTCAATTTCATTTTGTGGAACATTTTAAAATTTTACCTGTTTTTTCACTGCTTCTAAAAAATTTTAAAGTATTAATATTATGTATATTCTGTAGATACACAAGTTGATTCACCAAGCATATGCTAACTTTTTTTGTTTTTTATAATAATAAATTTATTAAAATTATAGATTTTTATAAATTAAAACAACACCATGCTTTTAATTTTATGATTTTTTTTTTGGTAATACATAAGTGTCCTATGGTGATACAAAATTCGTTCAAAATTATTTAAAACTTTTATACTCTAAAATTTAGAGTTACATATTATATACACGTAAATATGGATACTTGGTTTCGAACTGGGTCTTGTCGTAAGACGAAGCTGTCAAATGATGAAGGAACTAGTAGTGGTGGAACTAGTAGTGAGATTGTTGATATGTCAAGTTTGAATATAAGAAAGAAAACTAAAATATATTTTCGTAAGTATAACCCTGACTTTTTAAAAATCGGGTTTGTATTTTTTGGTACTAAGGAGGAGCCTATGCCGCAGTGTGTGATTTGTTTCGAAACGCTATCCAACGAATGTATGAAATTTTCAAAACTTGTAAGGCATCTATCAACTAAACATCCTGAATGTGTAGGAAAATCTCGATTTTTTCAAATCAAGAAAAAAAATCTTTCTATGACTAAATCAGTCATGGAAAAATCTTCAAAACAAAATATAACAAGTACCCAAGTTTCTTATGAGCTTTCGTTGTTAATCGCAAAGAAGGGGTCAGCTTACACCGTGGGAGAAGAACTTATTATTCCCGCAGCAAAAATAATAAGTAATGTTTTGTTTGATGAAAAATGTACCAAAAAAATTAATGAAATTCCGATATCGAATACGACTGTGAAAAGAAGAATTGATGAAATGTCGGAAAATGTGAAAATAGCTATTATTACTGTTTTAAAACAAAGTGAATATTTTTCGCTACAACTGGATGAAAGCACAGACGTTGCTGGCGAAGCTAATTTATTAGTTTTTGTTCGTTTTGAGTTGAATGGTAATATTGAAGAAGAAATGCTGTTTTGTCAGTCTTTGTCGACAAAAACAACTGGCGAAGACATTTTTAAATCTGTTGATAGCTTTATAAAAGGAAACAAAGTAGATTGGTCAAAGTGTGTAGGTTTGACAACTGATGGGGCACGTGCTATGTCTGGAATTCATACTGGATTAATTGTCAGAGTTAGGTCAGTTGCTCCTTTAGTTCAATGGACACATTGTAGCATACATAGAGAGGCTCTTGCAGTTAAAGGTTTAGACGAGTGTCTCAAAAAAACTCTTGATGGAGCAGTTAAAATCGTCAACTTTATTAAAGCAAGGCCTAAAAACTCCAGACTGTTTGGTGTTTTGTGTGATGAAATGGGAAGTGAACACAAACAGCTTTTACTTCACTGTGATGTTCGTTGGCTGTCAAGAGGTAAAGTGTTATCAAGATTGTTTGAACTCCGTGATGAACTTAGGGTTTTCCTTATGGAAGGGGGTTATGATGGAAAACTTGCAAGTTCCTACTTAGAATTGGTGACCGATGAAAACTGGTTGAAACGATTGGCGTATTTGGCGGATATTTTTGGTGCCCTCAACGTTCTTAATTTAACTTTGCAAGGCAAACACATTCATAAGTTTTTTGTGCAAGACAAAGTTGATGCAATGATAATCAAGCTTCAACGATGGGCTCTAAAAGTAGAACAAGATTCCTTCAATGCATTTCCAGTCCAACATGATTTTCTTTAAACTAACGAAGTTAAAATTGATAAAGCAACAGCTAAAACTATACAAAATCACCTCAAATCTTTAGCTTCCAACCTCAGGTTATTTTTAATTATTTATTTTTCTTAATTACAAATTAATATTTTTAATAGGCATAATTGAAATCATTTTTACCCTGTTTTTAGAAACTATTTCCCTAAAATTGAAGAGGAAATGCAATGGATCAGAAATCCCTTTGAAGAAGATAACTTGAAAAAATTGAAAATATCTGCAAGTGAAGAAGATTCGTTTATTGAAATGTCATGTGATCATACTTTAAAATCGTATTTTAAAAGTACACAATTAGTGCCATTCTGGTTAAATGTTCGGAAAGACTATCCAGCAATTGCTAAAATTGCACTGAGAAACTTGATGGGCTTTTCCACAACTTATCTATGTCAACGTGCTTTTTCTACTTTAATTTATTTAAAAAATAAATATAGGAATGTTGAGAATGATTTAAGACTAAAACTAATAAGTTTTAATCCAGATATTGACTTTCTCGTGAAGAACAAGCAATGTCAAAAATCAGATTAAATTGTTTATCTTGTGATAAAGTTGAATTAAGTTTTTTTTTAATAAACAATTGTTTTTTTTTAAATTTTTAAAATGTTTTTTTCCTAATAACTATATATACATGTATATATGTATATAATTATAATATATATTATAATTTTATGAAAACGTATATGTATGCTATGGGTGGGCCTCAAATATTTTTTTACAAAATTAGTGGTCCGCGAAACTAAAAAGGTTGGGAACCGCTGCTCTAAATTGTTTAGTGAATTTTTTTTTTTGAAAATGTTGATATACGTAGGTAATTATAATTCAGACAATAAATAATTTGTATAAGATAAGATCTTATTTATACCAAAAGGAAGTCATTGAAATGGGCTTCCTTCAATAGTTCAAAAATTGTATGAATTTGAAATGGTCTTTAAGTATATTTATAAATATTCCAAAAACCAGATTTTGAACAACTATTATTTAAGAAAAAAAAGTAAAGTTGGAGCATGCTTTGTAAATCACCCTAGAATGAAAGTTATATTCAAATAGTGTGTTGTATTCTAAAAAGTAGACATTATTTTATATCTTTTTTTTATAATTATTAGAAATAAATACTACGAGTGCTTATATAATAATAATAAAAAATAAAAAATAAATTATTTTACTTAAGCTTACCAAATATAACTGAACAAATCGCCAATGAAGAGAATGGGGTTTTGCCTTTTTTACCGCTATATGAATAATTTTTTAACAAATCATCTTTAAATATTTTTGACATTATTCATTTTACCATTGCTTTTGTGTGTTTTCCTCCAATGTATGACAATTCTTTAACCTGCAATTTTAATTTGGAAGATACATAATATTGTTAATTATATAATTTTTATATTTCTGATATTGGTATATTACCAAATGTGTTCTGAAATGTTGATTCCCGCTTATGTTATCTTCAAATGTATTTAGGTCTACTACATCATCTACAGGAAATTGATAATTTGTCATCTCATTTTTTGAGGAATTTGTTTTATCAATTACTGGTTGATCTTCTAAATGAGATTGGATTGATTCTAGTCGCTCCAAAATAATTAATTGGTTGTTTTGTATATTTCGCATTTCAACTTTTAAAAATGCTACGTTTCGGTTCATATGTCGTTGAAATTCACTATCTATCACATACAAAAGTATAAAGTTATAAATTAAGTAAAAAAATATGAATATTATATATTATTCAATATTTAACTTATTTTTCAATACCTCTGGTAAAATATTCATTTGCCTTAGATAAGGACCCGTCAGTCGTTTGCTCTTTCTTAGATTTCAGTAACAGTGTTGCTAAAATATTAGCATATTATTAAACTATATAAATGATAAAAATATTTGATGACCTTAAATGTTATAATGATTACAATTAACTAAATTTATGAATTCAACATGAAAGTTAATTTGATTTACATTTTATTTAATTATTATTGTTTGAATACGTGGGTGTAGGTGGCGTACTTAACAGCAGTTCCCTTATATATATGTTTAAATTATTTTGCAGCTCAAATATAAGGTTTACACTGCCTAATATTTATATGTTGTTAAAAATCGCTGTGACGCTACCTGTGTCCAGTGCTTCTACTGAACGTAGTTTCTCGAAGCTTAAAATTATAAAAACAAGATTATAGTCAACAATGGCTGAGTCGAGATTGGAGGGACTTATGCACATTGCATGTGAATTGGATGTTCCAATTAATACAGACAATGTGATTAATAATTTTGCTAAAAACAGTAATAAACTATTAAAAATATTAACTTGATTTATTTATAAGCATTTTTGTACTACATATAATTTTTATTTTTAATATTTAGAGAAATACATAAGTATTTATTAAATATTTACTTAAAAATTACTGAAGCATACAAAAATACAATAACAACTTAGTACTTCATATTTAATATTATACATAGCAGCAGTTATTTGTTTATTTTTTTTTGTAGTATAGTATTTGTCAGTTGTCCTACCACCTACAACATAGGCAAAACATTAATTTCTGAACTATGTTTTTTATATTTACACATTTTTAAAATATTTTTATGTACAGTATAGTATAAAAAAAAAATGTTTCTTATACCTAAAATAAAATAAATAGTATAATATTAAATTATTATGCCTGTACTATCGAGCGTAGTGAGCAATATTTTTTTGGGTGGGTGGGTATAAAATAGGTTTTTGATTTTACCCCAGAAGTTTATAAATGAATCGGCGCCACTGGTAATAATCACACTTTCATATATTTAAAAATATATTATAATATAAAAAACTCATAATAACTTACAAATATTTTAATAAGTGCATATTGTTTAATTTCAATATTTTTCATTTGATGTCAACTTATTTTAGATAATATGAAATACCAAGTAGAACAGTCCTCAGCAGAACAATTATACCTGACATTTTTACAAAGGTCAAAAGTAAAGTTCAGATTTCATTAAATGAAGTTAGTCCCGTAACAATAACAACCGATATTTGGACATCAATGAACATAGACTCCTTCATTACATTAACTGCACACTTTTTTGATAATAACCTGAGAGATCTGAGAACTGTGGTTCTATTGTACAAAAAAATTGGAGTGTAACCATACCGGAATATATTTATCTGAATTTATGATCAAAGAACTTGAAGATTGGAATATTTTGTCCAAAGTAATTGCAATCATAACAGATGGTGGTGCTAACATTAAATTAGCAGTCAGGCTAATGAAAATTCAACACATTCCCTGCACTGTTCATAAATTAAATTTAATAGTCCAACAGTCACTAAATCAAATTTTAAAAAAATGTCGCAATATTGCAAGTCTGGGCAAATTAATGATAATTTTTAACTGAGTTAAGTTAAGTTAATGGAAAACATTTTAAAAAGTTTAAAGTTAATAGTTAATATAATTCTTTTTTTAACACAGTTAAGTTAAAAGTTATATGTACATTTTCAATTAACTTATTAACTTAAGTTGTTATTTTTTT